TAAGATGCTGAATACATGATATCAGACACTATTTACTGTTTCTGTTTGTTTTTGGGCCTGTTTCCCATGTTTTTGCGAAACAGATCAGTCTGCTCTATCTAAATTCATATTTTATACATAAAAACATTTCATTGTCTCCCTCCCTAATTACCTCTGTTCGGTTTTCTAAGCTGTTCGGAGATCACGCACGCCAGGAGGAAAGAGTTATGACCTGTCTGGCTGTAGGAATTCGCGCCTCCTGGGGCTATTCGCAATCGTGACATTTGCGTGTGAGAGGCTTCGAGGTCTTATTTTTACGATAATAGGAACTCTGGTATTGCGCTCATTCTTATCCTTTCTCTGAATTTCAGATTGGCACAAACTTGCATTCAAAATCCTATATGTTTTGTCATGTATGTATGTTTTGTATGGTGCCTAGGTACAGTCCTTTAAGTTTGCTAGTTGACTTCCTGACCCCTTGCACCTACAGAATGCAGTCGTACCAGGCGCGACACACATCTCCTTTACTCCTTTTCCTTCCACTTAAAGGCACGTAACAGGAGTAAACTGCCAACGAGGTCCCTGGACTGAGAAACACAAAACAGATTGTCAGTAACAGTTTCCACATTTGCTGAAAATGCAATATACAGGTAACGGACTGTTACATTGCAGCCAGACCCTGAAAATAGCCTCAGTGGAAGAATAACACATTTCACTTAGCCTTGTTTTTGGACAGGAACTCGAGGTATTTCGATTACAACGAAATGCTGACTGTTCAAAGACATAAATGATATCACCTGCGTACAGAAGGCTATAGATCTCAAGGGTTAATGTTTTAATGATATTTGGCATTCGGGAAATGACACCAGCAAGTGCCATTGGACTCAGAAATTGGACTCCTGGATGTCATATCTCACTTATGACATCTGGAAACATGAAAGCAGCAAAATTATAAATCAACTGAAGCAATTTCAGCAACTATTAACAACATGCTGAAAATAGTTTCCTTCACCATTTATACTCTGCATTACAAATATACTATAAATCAATACAAAAAACAATTAAAGGAGAAACATTGTTCATATGTCCTGTGTGTGTGCAGGTTAACAAGACATCGGTGTAGGCACTACAAAGAATAGAGTGTCAAAGAAAAGGGTTATATTTGCCTCATGAATATCTGAATGCAGAAAGCGTTCCTACAGTCTCAAGGACTCCGTGCGCTTTAAATTATCTACTAAAATATTTATTTGTCCAAGCTGCAAACACATTAACTTCATTACCCCATATGCAGCGAAAAAAATCGAGATAACATCCAATGATTTCAATACCCCTAAAGAAAGCTGCAAAATGTGTTTGTACACAAGGGATTATCGAAATCTTTACTTCAGTTGAAACAATGGTGGTAGACCAGCAGTAGCCGATAACGTCTGGAATTTGATTACGCATTAACTTAATAATAAGGGCGCAGATTCCGCTAATCCATTTCCTTCTGTTCAAAAAAAAAAAAAAAAAAACACGTCCCTAAAGGGACCTACGCACAATAATATAATATAAAAATAGAGGGGACTATCAGTTTTCTGCACTATTCAGATATCCAGCACGTGAGGTCAGAACTGCGATTCTGTAAGGTGGTTTTGTCCTTCCCAGCATCGATTGCATACTCGCTGAACATAAATTAAAGTCTTAATGGAAGTTTGTATTGAAAAAGAAAATAAACAGAGGATATTGAATGGCTATTGATTGTAGTTTAATCTTTCGAGATTAAATATTTCAGTAATGGGATCTTATTCTCCTCACGAGCTAATCAGCTTGGGGAAAAAACATCCTTGCAATCATGAAATCCTTTTCATGTGATCGCTAAATGCAATCCACTCTCACGTTGAGGCTTCATTTCATTGTGTTGGGGGGGACCATTTCTCATCTTCAATGAAAGGAAGCCGAGGAGAGAAACTTTAAGATGGAGGTTGCTCTATAAACGCAGATGAACGCTGTGTTCCACAAACATGATGGGCCTTCATAAACTTCAGTGTTTATGCCGTGATTGCAGTGGGAGAGGGGAAAAGATGGGGTCCTGTTTCATTCCCATACTGGTGGAAAAACAGTCCTCCTGCAAGCACTTCTGAACTTTGCCCTCTAAAACAGAGCACTGGGTTTGGTGGTGTTTGTTTTCTTCTGCTGGCGTTGCGCACAATGGGATATTTCCCCCACGGCAACCCTAATGTTGTTATTGAGATGGATAGTTGGAGCATTCTGCTTACGCGAAAAAGGCCTTTTCAGTCCAAACGACAGTAGACCGAAACCGCAAAAATGGCAAAACTAGGTCGTAATGTTACGCAAAACACCTGAAAATGATTTGATGGTGTCGTTTATGATGACGGTGGAAAGACAGCTGCACCCCAGACCCCTTTTATCTCTGATCAGATCTTTCATTTCGATAGATGAAAGTACTTCAGTAAGGCTAGACAAAGCCCTAAGTTCAATGGAGGCATATAAGGAGACCTGCAGTATGATACGATTTTCAAGGGCTTCAGAAGACAAGGCTTCACCATCTTTTATGCTGTTAATCATATGAACAAATGGATCCTACCTCCCTTTTCCCAATTCTCTGCATTGACTCATAGTGGAATTCAGGATACATTATAAAATTCTCATCCTCCCCTACAGAGCCCTGCATGGTCCGGCCCTGTTAAACAATGTGGATGTCCTGCACTCCACAAGCCCTTCTTTCTGTCCCTTGCACCAGGCTAAAGATGCATGTGGATTTTACATTTCAATCAGTGGCTCCCAGACTGTGGAACAGTCCTACACCAGCACTGAGATTTGTGCAATCAGTCGAACAGTTTAAGGCCCAGCTAAAGACTTATCTATTTAAACAAGCCTTTGGATAGCTTGTGTTTGAATATTCTATTTTATGCTCTGTATTTTAACTTGCATGGCATTTTATTTATTTCATTTTATTGTTCAGCGCTTTGTGATGTCTGTCTCTGAAAAGCACTTTATAAATAAACTTTACTTGTTTGCGTTAAAGTAATATCAGAGTTTCTATGCCGCATATGTTCTATTTTGACACTTAGTTCACTTCACTAGAACAGTAATAATATTGACTTTAGTAAGAAGGACGAGACCTGGTACAATTCACAGGTAATGGACCGAGGCTGGGCATTCCAGAAGGTTCTTCGTGATGGAGTGTCCTGCATCCCCATATGACAGCTGAAATCTGTGGATCAGCTGGAATTGAAAAAGCAATAGATCACAGACCCCACTGCTTTGTTTGGACAGATGGACAGGGTCCTATCAGAAGTGACAGGACACCCCAACGACTCCAGAACATATGCAAATATTTTGATTTTTTGAGAACAACACTGGGACGTTGCAGCAGCTGGTGCAGCGCTCGGACCTGACAGGATATCCTTGGGAGGCAGTGGAATGGAGATTTAGGGCAAAGACGACATCGCTTCTTCAGCATTGATGCTGCCAATGGCTCAAACCAGGGATTAGCATAAGGTCTACATGCACCGAAACAAGCCGTCAAGGCCGAAGGTTTAAAAGCTGTTCATTTATATTCATAACTACATGTATCATGTGCTTTCCAGAAGCTGGTATGCTGTATGTGTCCACTGATTAAGAACGTGAGAAATTACTTTGTATTTAATCACTTATAATGTTTTTATAGTTATTATGCCAAACATCACTGCTGTCATGCATGGTTTCACATAAGAACCATGTTCTGTGAAATTGCACCGTGACATTTGAGAAATTTCGCAGACAAATTGCAGCACTTGAATTACCAGAATGTTCTTGTAAGTTTGGTACGATGGGGTTACAAGGGAAGGGTGTCCATGTCTTATGACAGTCAAGCGGTAAATCTTCAGGGACTGTTGACTCTTAAATCACCTGCCTAACAAATTTTGTGTAGGTAAAGAACTGCTGGTACCTGGTTGATGCCTGTCTATTGGGGAAAAAGTTGTCATTTAGCCCTATAAAGAATAAGTAAACAGTTCTCAATGCAGACCTAAAATTATGTGTTTTTATCTTTCCCACTGCAGGAACTCTTTTCCAGAACCAGGACTTTTTTCAGGAACCAAAATTTTTTGTCACGTCCTCAAGAACTCAGACTAACTGCAGTTTCGGAACCTTTTTTTTAGTCCCTACTCTTGACTAAGCCTGTGCCCCAATTCAGAGGCTGCATCCTTCAAAGGCTGCATGTGAAAGCTGTCTCATTTCCTAGGCTCCTTCAAATGAGGTCTAGGAATGTGTCCTCCTTTTCCTGCTCTGCAAAGGATGCACCTGACTGATCCTTTGTGGTCCAGTCTATCCCAAGATTCATTGTGCAGAGGTAATGTGGGTGTGTCCCAGCTGGCTAGCACTTCCTGACTTGGGTAAGGATGGGAACAGCTGGTGATGGAAATAGGAAATTATCCTTAGGCCAGTCAATCCCATTTGACAACACTTTCTGTTTGACCTTGAAGAACACGACCTACAAAGGGCACGCCTTCATACACCTTGTCCTTCAAAAGGTTGCAACCCCTGAATTGGGACACAGCTTAGGTACGTTTTTGTTCTACCACAAACTACTGGCCTATAGTGATAAACCTTGCTGACTGGTTGACCACAAGCACCTTCGCTAACTTGGAAGACATGCCGGAAGTGCGGGAAAGAGGGACAGAAATAGTGGAGTGAAAATTGAGCAGATGGAGGTATTTTTGAACCTCAGTTACATTTAATGCACCAATGAATGCCTTTTTGCCTACATCTCCGTATTTCTACATTGGAAAGTTTGATCAATAACTGAATGTTAGAGTTATATAGGGCATTTTCAAGACACCCAAAGTGCTTTACAGAATCAATGGGGAGCCACTTCAGCCAGCACCACTGTGCAGCCCCCACCTGGATGATGCGCCACAGGCTGCACCAGTACGCTCACCACACAGTAGCTAAGGTGGTAAAGGGGCACGAGAGAATTCACCAATTAGATATAGGGGATGATTAGGAGGCCAGATCTGATAGTGCCAGAGTGGGCAATTTTAGCCAGGGCATCTGGGTACCCCCCCCCACCCCCACTCTACTCTTACAAAAGATGCCCAGGGACCTTTGATGACCTCAGAGAGTCAGGACCTCGGTTTTACGTATAAAAGTACGTCATTCAGTTGTTGCTCAGGTGGGTGTATATAGTTTTTGTCTGAATGTTCGCTCACCGTGCCTCCAGAGAGCTTGACATGCAACGTTCTTCTGCTGCAGGGCTATCGTGGACCTCAGCCAGGAAGCAAGAGGCACAGCGGTGGGCAGAAGCCGCTGGAAAATGATCCGTGCGTCCATATGGAAGCAAGGCTGGCAGGCTCGTTGGACGAGGTGAGTCGCTACCCCTGAGTCATGTGTCCTGGAGGAAAGAGGCATTCAAAAAAAACAAAACAAAAAAACAACACAGCTGGTTCCGACATACATGGGAAAGCAGGTTTCCTGTGAAGTACCTTCTACCCCCCTGACAACCAGGCCAGCAATCTATAGGAAACTGTCACATCAGCAGTGATGGTAAGCATGGGATTTTAGACTGGTCTGGAAATCAAGACGGCCACTAAATGATGCCACAGCTCACTGTCAGCTTTGTAGTAATATCAATTTTAGCTTAATAGTCTAGAAGAATGGGTTTCACACTGTTGCCATTACTAACCTGAATTAAACAGACCTTTGTGCTTTTTTTCATCAGTATATATAGATTGGAGGTGGTCATTATGGCATCCTGACAGAAGACAAGATTCCAGTTGCTTTCACTGATGCACAGGGCTCTGGTTTATTTCACACAAGTCAACTCTCCTTCGGCTGGTCTTGGATCCGCAGGCTGTACAGGACTAGCGGCTAAAATCCATACAAATTGAAAAGAAGTGCATGAGTGGTTCTTATTCAGGAGTGATATTCTGGGTGTTTTCTAAAGACAGCTTTTCCATTTTACGTGATGTTCTACAGGAAGGTTGTGATCTATCTGGTTAAAGGAGATAATGCAACATTCGAGCTCAGTTTTTATTTCCCAGATAGTAGTGAAGTGTAATATCTGCCCTTCCATCAATTTCCAACCACTTATTCAGTACAGGAGAGCCAGAAGCCTGCAGTCAATCTGAGGAAGCAGAGCTGGGGAGCGGCTGGACAGAATGGCAGTCCAGTACAGCACGCACACACCAGTGGCGGAGCCAGGAAATATTCAGTGGGGTAGCTGGGGCGGGACCAGAGGTCATTTTGGGGCGGCACATAAATCAAAATATGAATATAAGGCATCTAGAAAATAAGGGAACATTTAAGGCACATAGACGCTATAACTCTACATTGTTTATTATTCAGGCAGTGGTGGAATTATCAAATAAACATTTAATTTAAATTCAATTCCTTGCAGTTAAGGTAACAAGCGTACACTAAGCACAAGATTCCCAAACGTCTGCATTGCTGCCGTTCTGAGAGCATGTTTAGCTCAGCTGTGCAGTGAGTTTATTCCTTATCAGTACAGTAAATCATGAACAGAGAAACAGGTACGGAGTAAAAGCAGTTTTTAAGTCAAAGTCTGAGTTAACCACAAAAAAGCAAATATGAAAGGGGTGGCCAAAGGGGGGGACAGATTTCAGTCTAGGAGAACCACGGCCGGCTCTTGCCCCCCCGCTCCACGTATGGCACACACATTCACACTCTGGCCAATTTAAAGTATTAATGTAAATTTATCAAGCTTCTCTGAGTTCCTGACCTGAGAGACCTGTCTTTTATTGATTTTGTTGTACAGGCATTTCTTAGTAGAACAGCAAATATCACCACTACACCTAAATCATTTCTTCTAGTTGCCAGTTATTACGTCTGAGTTTGTACGCAAAGTTCATTTTGTACTTTAAAACGATGCATTAGATTAGATCATGGATATTACATTTGGAGAGACTACTCATAGTGCAAATCAGACCACGGTCTTTGTAGTTACACCGTGACCTGTTATACATTAAGTTTTTTAACAGTCTTTATTTTTATCAGCTGAGAGTATCGTGTTTTGGGCTTCCATTCTGTTTATGCAGCGTGTGAATAATTTAAAGAGCAGAATTTCACTACTGCCAGCTCCCCGCTTATTACAGACAGCAGCAGAGCAGACTTTGGAGCCGATGTAAGATATTATCGTCACACTCTTAGGTATAAATCTGATTTATATTCAAAGCTGACATTTCATTGTTTTGTTTTCTCTTCAGCTGGGGCGTAGAGTCCTGCAGTACACGCAAACATTAATTACACACGGTAAAACGAAAACCAATAAAGGAATGCAGCAAAACATAATGATTTTAAAGCGACTTGCCTTTGGCAGATTAAACTCATTTTTAGTTTCAGGAAAAAAAAATCATGTTCTGTAAATAGAGTTTGCAGAGAATACAAAGCGGCGACCTGCAGGGTGTATTTCTAGCGTGTCTTTAGTATTACCCTCCACACCGTCTGCTTATAGTCATCTCCGCACCAGACGCGAATATAATATTACCATTGAAACATAACCCCAGATACCATTGTTATTCTTGCGACAGTTATATGTTAACTATGCGTTTCGCACCAACTCTCATACTGGCATTTGTCTTTGCACGCATTGTCCAGGGCATGGTGCTTTAATAATCATTTAAATAAATGAGTAGCTTTCAGACCGTGTGTTTTGAGTTGTCAGCCTTAATTCAGGCGTACCAGTCGTGTTTCAATTATTTGCTTTTAATCAAAAAGTGTATTGATTTGAGTCACGCGGCCATGGTTTTAGTTGAGAATAAAAAATATTTGTGAACCTGGAGTTTAATGTGGATTTTTTCCGCCATCCATACCCCTCCTCCAAAAAAGCCGCATGCGTGTGACCAGGCGATCAAGTCTGCAATACCCAGGCCTTGTGCATTGCATTACAAACCACGGCACAAACGGTTCGTATTCAAGCTGCACAGTGCTGCACCAGCCCTCCGGCTTCCGATCGCTTTCATTTCCCGTTTACAGGCGCCTTTTGCTGGTGATCCGTGTTTTAAAAAGGCACCCAGTCCCCGCCAGGCGCTGCATGCTGGCCGGCTGCGGTCACTCCTCACGCAGCAGTCATCGCGTCTCAGCGCCGCTTCCCGTTAGTGCAGGCAGGCGGTGAGCTCCGTACAGAGCCAAAGTAAATCACGCCGTTTAAGTGCTTTTCCGAGCGCATGCCGCGATATTTCGGGTTTTTTTTAAAGGCGTCGTTTAATCTCTGTCCAAAGCATCGTTTTCTCCTTCCGCTTATTGATTCTGCGGATAAACTAAACTTTACCCACACTTGCAGGGGTCCCCGTGGAACCCGGTCCCAGGGTTGCCAACTTTGGTCAGCCGGCTGGAGTGAGATTTTCAATTCGCGTCTGCACAAACATGCACACGCATTTACATGTATGTAAGAGTTTTATTACCATGTAAATAGTCTGCATGGTTTGCAAACTACCCCAACGCTTTTAATTTAGCTAATTTTAGGTTTGTAATGGAGTAACATAGATCTGCCGAAAGATTCCTTGCGTGAGTCTGAAAGCGTGAGTGTCAAGCCGGATGAGTGAGATCTGGCAACCCTGCGGTCTTCAAACGCCAGTTCTGCAAAGTGCGCGTTTGGTTGATATGGTCACATTTCTGTCCTCCGGGGAGTGAAACATTGACGGAAATCCTGGATGAGAGATGAGTGTTTCCAGGTTGTTGTACAAATAAGAGATTTTCCGGTGTGGTGCAGTCCCACTGTGGCATATTGAGAGGCAGGGGCGCTGCTAGAGATTTTGGGCCCCATGAAAGCATATCATATTAGGCCCCCCAGTCTAAAGCAATCCAGTTATTTTCCTAATTTTTTAGGGCCCCTGTCGCTCGCTTGGAATCGTCCTAGGTTTCCTCCCCCTTACGGCGCCCCTGTTGAGAGGAGAGATATAACCGGCTCTCCGACTGGTATTTCTTTGCCACTAGCTTCTATTACGCCACTGCGTTTGATAAGACCTCATAAGGACAGGACATGTGGCGAATCCAATGTCTTTGTTAAAATTACAATTGATTTTTCTACCTGCGTGCCGCTTTGCTTTAGGGAGTCGAAATTGTAATTATATAAGCAAACATGAAACAAAAATGCATAAATGGAATGACGGCTTTGCTTAACCTAGACTTAAAAACTCGACTTGTTCTGCAAACACATTCCTGAAGAAAATAATTGCACAGTTTAGCCTGTACACGAATAGCACAAGGACTCTATTAAGAAGCTTGGAGAGCATTAATTGAGGGTTGAATTAAGGATGTTCTGTGCTGTGGCTGCGTTTTCTTGAGCCCGACGTAGGATTTGAGTAGCTTCATGGTATTTTAGCTGCCTGGAGGACATTAGATACGATGCTTCCCCCCTACTGGAGGAGACAACCCAAACCTGAGTGATTACTGGAAAACATTCACTTCCTGGAACTGGGGCTGTAGTTAAACCAAGTCCCACCGCCACCCAGTTTCAGAACAAGACAGAACGCAGAGGTGGAAAATTCATGTCCAGAAAGTACAAATCCAGACCAAAATTTTGTTTCAACCAACCAGTTGAGTACTCTGGGATTGTACTGTAACTCTTTATGCTTAACTGGTTGCTTGAAACAAAATCTTGGTCTGGATTTGTACTCTCTGGACATGAACTTCTGACAAAGGTAAATGCTTACAGTGCAATACAAAAACTCAGCAGGTGAACTGTACAGCTGCTTTTATTTGCGAAGCGGTGGTTTCATGGAGGTGGTCTCAGGCACACATGTTCAGGGGAAGAACCTCCATACACTGGTGCCTTCACACTTACCAAATCAGAAAAAAACAGCTTATCAGTGTAGGTGTCACATTTCACTGTAGATGGGCTGTGAGGGTGGAGGGGGGTCGTGATAGCTGAGCTTTAAGACAGGAGCACAGCATATGGCACCCTCACGCAGTTTTGTGTTGACCAGACATTCTTTCCTTATTATTGTCTACTGCTGTCTTGCTGATTTTTTGTCACTTTTTTTAAAGGGGTTGTGCAGTGGTTTGCACTGTTGCCCCACACCTCTGGGACCAGGGTTCGAGTCTCCGGCATGGCTCCATGTGTGTGGAGTTTGCATGTTCTCCCCGTGTCGTCGTGGGGTTTCCTCTGGTGGGTTGGCGCCCCTTCCTGGGTTGTTCCCTCCCTTGCACCCATAACCTCCAGTATAGGCGCTGGACCCCCTGCTCCCCTGAATAGGATAAGCGGTTACAGAAGATGGATGGACTTTTAAGAAAAATCCTTCAGGCCCATTGTACCTGGGGCTATTGAAGAAGGAGGTTACCCAGGGCCCTTAATCTTTACAGGCTTGAAATATTAATTTTCCCCAATGGCGCAACATCAAAGCGCTCTGCAGTTTCACCTGTTTTTAAAAAAAATTTATGAATGCTTTTTAAAAGGAAACATTAATTCTGCCGTGTGTCGCTGTCCTAGTTTATCGCGGCAGAGATGGCTTTGCAAGTGGATTGATGTATTTAATCCAGTCACAGAAGTTGTCCTGCCCGTAGTCGTCGTGTTAAGACGTTCATCTCTGTTCTGGATGATGTGAAAGGTAATCGTTTGCTCGTTCACAGAAGTCTGCTTCAAACACGCAGGCCAGCGGGTTGCCTCATGGATGAAGAGCCAGTGCACGTGTCGTGGGGCTCACTGGATCGTGCCCAGAAGGGGATCACACAGTGATACCAGAGCTTTGTCAGTAAGGCAGGGGTAGCCAGTTTTACCCAGCAAGGGCCACTGTGTTTGCGCATGTTTTGCTTCCTCATTAGAGGACTGATTGGCTGAAGAGTCCTCACACCTGGGTTTGAGCAGCTGACCTAAAGGTTACCCCAAAAACCTACATACACACCGACCCTTTGCAGATAAGATTGCCCACCCCTGCAGTAAAGTGTCCTGAATGAACTATATCATTGTTTCCCAGTCTGGTCCTCGTGGACCTGCGGACAGTCCACGTTTTTGCTCTCTCCCAGCTCCTGGCAAAAATGTGGACTGTCTGGCATGGAGCCGGGATGGAGCTAAAACACGGACAGTCTATGGTTCCCTGAGGACTAGGTTGGGAAATACTGAGCTATATAAATCGTTAGTCTGATTGGCTGACGCCGTCGACTCGGTCGGTAAATGTAAACACACTGAACACCACATGAAATGTGGCTGAATTTGAGATGAATCTGAGTTAAGTGTTGAATGTCATGCTGCTTAAACTTAACGTACATAGTCAGGTTTAGAAACAGTTTTGAACCCGTCATGAGGTTGGATCCTCTCTGAATAGACCGGACAGACGAGTGAGTTAACTTCACTGCGTCTGGTCCTGACACTAAGTCATGCGTTTTTTTTAACCTCTTGTACTTTAGTCTTTCCATTAGCTTGGCAATGAAGCTTAAATATGTATATAATTTTAAATCAGACTTAATTAATTAACTGTGACTGTTTTTCCTAGAGTCATGAACATTGAACCATATCAACTAAGGATTAATTATTACAGAATTAATTAAAATACCAAAAGTATATAATGTATATTATGCGCAGTATTAATCCATTATGGTGGCTAAGCTATGTTTGGGATTTTGAAAAATATAATGTTAGGTTACTTCTATTGTCATGCAAATTAAATAAATAAACTTTTAAATTATGCCCATGTGTGACATACTTCCCTGACCGTGTCATTTGTAAGGTAGAATCAAATGAATTATAATGTTTATCTATTTTACTTAAATGTTTCTGCTATACATGTTATATACATACATACACATTCTTAATTACCGCATTTGTGGCATTTAACCAGGAATAGCTGCTCCCTCATACACATTAATCTCTCGTTTACTGTCTGTCAGTAGGACACCGCTTCTCCAGCAAATCCATGCGCATCTTACCTGCCTTTGCCAATTTTAACAGTAATAGGATTTTGGAAAGTATTTTCTCCAGCAAAGTCCAAGGTTTATTGTTCATTCAGCAGCTGGAAGCGGGTGTTTTGGAGGTAAACTGCATTGGCAGGTAAATCAGACTGCATGCCTAACAGAAGAAGCATGTTTTGACAGAAAACGTCCTGAGAAACGAATGTGCGCTAAACAAGAAAGACACTTCTCTAATTGTGGTGTCTGTCTGCTGCCGATTAGACCTCAGACCTGTGCTGAATGGGTATGTAATGAAAATATGGCAAAGTAAATGGGACAATTGCATAAATAACACCCTATGAAATTACCCTTGGGGTGGCATGGCGGTGCAGTGGTTAGCGTCTGGGGCCTGGGTTTGGTTCTCCACCGGGATTCCACATGTGTGGAGTCTGCATGTTCTCCCAGTGCCGTTGTGGGGTTTCCTCTGTGTACTCTGGTTTCCCCACACAAAAAAAACTGAGGCTGAGGCTAATTGGAGTTACCAAGTTGCCTGT